AATAAAAGACAAAGTTCATGTTGGAGTTGAAGAAATTTCTATGAAGCTTTATTTAAATTCTATTTATAAATTATTAAATTTTTTACGTAGCATTAGTGATATATTATGGCAGAGTAAAACATCACGATCTTTGCAATCTCTAAATGTTATAAATCATAATATTTGCAAAAATTTTATTACGACTTAAGCTTTATTTTGGACAACTTTTTTATTACTTTCTAAAAGAACTTTTTAATATAAAAATTTCAAATTTTAAAATTTTTTATACTAAAAAAATTATTTAAAAAATAATAAAAAAACTGTCTCAAATAAAACCTTAGGATAATACACCAATGCATGATTATAATATATGAGAGAAATTCTACATTGAGCAATAAATTATGATAAAATATTGGAGAATTAAAGATTTTTTTAAAAATATATTGTAACATGAAAACTATGTGATATAGTTTATGTGAAATATAAATAAGCTCTTAAGACTCTTAATATAATACCAACATATTTTGATGATGACTTGGGATGAGAATGGGGATATTGAAGAAGGGTTGGAGAGATGCAATTATTGTAACGAGAAAAAGAGTATTAATGATGAAAAAAGCTAAAAAGATTAATAAGAGAAGAAAACTTTTGCTGCAAGCCTCCAAATTATGATTATAATTAGGGGTGTCAATTCGGGTCAACAGGTCGGGTTCGGGTCGAACCCGGAACTAACCTGGCATTGTTCGGATCAACCAGAACCCGATCTGTTTTTTAAAACGGGTTAGGTTTCCAGACCCGAACCCGACCCGATACGAATTACCCGAAGTTGACCTAAAATTGCTACATTTCAGGTCAAAATTGGGTCAATCTTTGATTTTTGGGTCAAAATCAGGTAAAAAAATGAGTCAATCTCGGGTCTCTGAGTCAAATAAGAGTTTTAGTATCAATTTCGGATCAATTTCGGGTCATTTTCGGGTTGTTGGGTCAACACGAACCACACCGATTTTAAAACGGGTTGATTTGTTGAACCCGAACCTGACCCGTTTTGGATCCGGGTTAACCCTAACCCGGATTTTCTCAATCGGATTTGGGTCGTGCCAAAAATTAACACCCCTAATTATAATATTCAGCACAAATCCGAAATCGATTCCGAACGGATATTTCGGTTGCATTTCGGATTCTGGTCAATTTTTCTGTCATTAACAAACGTGTTTTCCCAATCTCTTCCTGCCGACCTAAGACATTTATTGCAAAAAAATTACAATTATTATTATTATTTTTTACGTAAAGCCGTAAAAGAGCTTTAGAAATCATTAAACGATTACTCTAAAGGGAAAATCAAATATAGAATAATATCCTCCTTTTTATTTTAATAAAATCCATTATATTAACAAACCAAAAATTTATTCTGTTTTTTTTTTTTTTTTTTTGGGGGAAGGGTAAATTATAAAACACAAATATGACGTACATATTGAATCCCAAAATTTTAATAATATTTTTTAATTTGATATATATAAATTAATCAACAAATAATTTTTTAGAAACTAAATTATTATTGCTATTAATTAATTTGTAGATTCTATACCTTAATAACGGGTAATTAGTGCTATATTCTGAATTTTATAAATAAATATAAACATCATTATACTTAAATTAAAAATGAATTAAAAATACACTTTCTATCTAATTAATTAAATTTTAGATATTGAAATTTTCTAATTCAATACCTAAACTAAAATCAAAACTTCCTACCAAAATTATCAAAATCATAAAATCTAAAATTTTACAAAATGGAGCTCTCAGAACATCAAATATAATCCCCCCAAAGTAATTAATTACAAGCTAAACAAAAGAGAAATTCTAATAGAAACATGTTGGTCATTAAATAAAACAAGAATTTCTTTGCTGTTGGTTCATTAAATAAACTCCCTTTGTAGGTGAAAATAATCAATGTATGCATAGAGAAAAATAATAGAAGTTCGTTCAAATTAACAATCAAATGAAGCAAAAATATACAAAAAGAGAAGGTAGTATGACACGGCTCACCTTGGTCCATTGGAAAAATTATTACGTGTGGTGTTCGGAGGCTAATCCGAACGCGTGACGTCACGCAATGCATAGTGTATTGGATGACGTGGCGTGTCCGGATTGACCTCCGAACGCATTCGGACACCCCACAGAATAATCTCTCGATCTATTGGGTGGGAGCTTTGGCTACCAACCAAGAGGTCTTAGATTCGAGTATTGCGTATGTGATGTGTGTTTGAGTTTGCCTTAATTGACCTAAATGTCGTCAAAACAAAAAACATAAGGTAGTATGAGGAACATTGTCTTACTTTTGGTAGACCTATCCTTATCCATTCAGTTTTGGTTTCCATAAGAGTCCATCCAAACACAGATTCAAGAAAAAGACCACTAGAAATTGATTCAAGTCAAAAGAATCATCAGGCAATGTAAAACCTGTATGCAACATTAGGTACTACTCTATATATTTATATACAAATAAATAAAAAGGCAAAGGTCTTTTGGTAAACTATAAATCATTTAAAAAAAAATTGGATATCTGTTTCTGAAAGGAAGTCAAGTTACCTTCAGAAAGAAAGAGCTAAGTGCAGCAGTTCTACTCTGATTAATGGTCAGTATGGCGTGGCCTACGCCCCATGTAGCTGCAAGAAAGAGAGCTTCAAAGATTATAATCACAACAGATGGCCCTCAACTGAACCTATGTATAGTAAACCTTCCATTTATATTTAATTTTGTTGGCTCTTTGGTTGAGATCCAAAGGAATGAAGATTTAAAAAAAAAAAAATCAGAATCCTGCGTGCCTAATTTTACTGGTTGAAAACTGCATTTTCATGGTTATCTATAAATGATTGGAAGCATCTCAGTAAAATTAGAATGGAAAGGAAGACATCATTAAGTGATAATTATGCAGATTTTGAGAGCAGCAGGTTTAGATGTGTAAAATCAGACAATAAGGAGAAGATATTGCATTTTGCATGTTAAACAACTTATTGTAGAATAAGAGAAATTATTCTATGCGGACACCAAATGGTCCATAGGCGAATCAGAACACGCTACGTCATCAAGTACCGAGCAGTACATAGCAGCGGTACACATCAAAAAATAACATGACACATACTGATTTGCCTCTGAACGCCGTTCAGTGACCGCACAGAATAATTTCATGTGGAATAGAGGTATTTTAGGAATTGGGTTGACTCAAACCTGCGTCTATGTCCACCAACGAAACCTCTGGATACCACCGCATGACTGCCAGAACCAGGCATTCCAGGAAACTCATCTTCCACTTCATGGAACCTATACACTGAAGTGTCCGCTGATGATGGCGAATGCTCAATTGAACCAACAGATGTCGATCTATGGTGACCTCGCCTTGCATCTCTCCTACTAGATCTACCCCGGTTTCTTGAACCCCTGAACTTACCAAACACCTGGTAAAGAATGCAAGAGTACCACCATTTTGTTCCACGATCACGAAAATCATCATAATCATCTTCATTATCCTCGTTACCATACTCAATGACATAATCCCCTAACACAACACCATGTGGAACTTCAGCGTGTATAGTGCTCAGAACATCTATAATAGCTGAAGATTGTTGAAAATTCTCCCAATCCAATTGGTGTGCGGGGTCTATCTCTGAAGGATGAGAATGAGGATGTTCTAACTGCATATGACTCTGGAGCTGAGCAAAGTTACCAACATAAGAGCAGTGCTGCTCTTCGCAACACCGCATTTTCATGTTCAAGTAAGCACGGGCCTCCTTGACGATGGCCCAACCAGCCACCTCTCCCCTACACAAAGGGCAGGTTGGAAGGCTTTCACAGTCTGATGCTATCAGTTGAGTGGAGTCATTAATGCCATTAGTGTTCCAACATTCAGAAGTTTCAGAAACTCCAAATGCAGTTCTGAACCGGGTCAGACAATTAGAATGTGTTTGGTCCGTATCACAAAGGAAAGGACGGCAACCTTTATCATAGGAGGAGCAGTGGAGAAGGACCCCATTGTGAGGGACGTCCAGACATATTGGGCAAGTTGCATCTTCCCAGCTATTTAGCAGAATATCATCATCTATCAGTTTCTTCAAAGACGTGCGGGATACCATGTCAAAATGTATTTATTATGCATACAATTTAGCTGGATGAAATTTGATTTAGATAATTGTGATACCAAATCCTGCATGGGAGGAAAATTAGATAAATCAAGGTCAGGCTCCGGCACAAAATGATTATAATTTTATGAAGGTACAGAATACTGCAGGTAAATGAAGAAAATCAAGCATAAAAAACTGTCCCAAGTTATAGTTTAAATATATGTGATGACTAATTTTAACCGCAGTGAAGCCACAACAATGCTAGCATTTTATAAGAATCAAATGTAACTTCTAATTTGATACGTGATTCTTTCTTTGTGAATTTCACAGTAATGGATCAAAAGAGTTCTGCCACGTCCAATTAATGCAGAATACAAAGTCTAAAGTCGTTACCCGATATTAAAAATGTTTTTGTAAGTTTGAGCTTTTTTTTTTTAATTTAATTTTTTTTTTAATGAGGTTAGTTGAATCAGTTGAAATCTAAATTTAGATTTTTTATTCATGTCGCAATTTATGGGTTAAAAAATTTAAGTTCTAAGAAATTATCTATTAATATTATCTCTATATAAATCAATCAAATTGGTATCAATTTTCATTTTTTATTTATTTTTAAATTTACAAATTCATACAAGAACCTCATTGAATATTGCATTAAAGAAAATCTGGCTTTTATAACTCTATCTATTTGGTTGATTTCAAAGATACATAGCACACTAAATTTTCTTCTTTACACCATTTGGATTATCATTTTTAAAGAGGTTGTCCCTATATATGATATGAACATGCTATTTAAAACAAATATATCTATAAACATTTGGCTTCCTGGTTTCCAAAAGAAAACTTCTTGGGCTCCTCGAAACAATCATTTTAAGTTTTACTCATCAATTTGATAGGAAATACTTGATTTCAAGTATTTCCTAGCCCAAATCAGTGGACAACAGCACCCAAAACTGCTGTTTACAGCAGTAATACAGCAGGCTATAGAAGAAAAACAGAGAAATCGGCAAGAAAAATTGAGATAGATCACTCCAAATACTTGATATTGATGGTAGATGCAATAGAAAACAGTAAAGATACAAGAGATCCTCTATTCGAGAGGAGGATCCACTCTCCCAATCTCTAGATAGCAATCTAGAGCCCTAACCACAAGAGAACAACAAGGGAACTTTCAGAAAATTGCACATAACCCTAACCCTAGCCTTTTCTCTCTACTTAATGCATACAATTCAAAATTAATACAAAAGGACCTAATTGCCCTTGCTTCTCCTCCTTTTGGCTCCAAGATTGCATTTGAAAATCAAGTGGACCCCACCCTTTCCTCTCTCTTGCTTCCACCGGCCTCCTCCTGCTGTAAACAAACCAGACCGGCCCAAGGGATTGGGCCGGCGGGTCTGGTCCATAGAGGACCGGTCTAACACAATTTTGAATTATTTATAGTTTGTAAATTAGAAAGCTTATAAGAATTTTTTCATGGTCCTTGTATCACTTTTTACTACATTACCCATTATTCATATTGATGATTTGCATGATAACAATAATTGGAGTCTTGTTGTTAACAATTACAAGAATTTTGCAGTATTAATCATTAAAAAATGAATGGTCCGTCTAAATTTAAAAAAAAAAAAAAAAAAAAAAACCCCTAAAAAAAACATAAAAAAAAAAAAAAAAAAAAAAAAAAAACCCTCTAAAGAACACTTAAAGAATTAAATGCAACAAGGTAAGACTACAAAAAAATTAAATACTATATTAGAGAAAATGCATAGAATTAAATTTCTAAAGAATTTTAATATAATTTTTAATATATCAGATATACTTATATAATCAACAATAAGCCAATTTTCTAGAATCTTTTTTTTTAGCTTCTTTCTCCTTGTTACATATTCAATACACCATCTACACACTTTCCAAAGAGACATACTAATCTATTTCTAGGAGTTCTTCTCAATGATGGGCTAATGCCACTACTAAGGATTGATTGGGTACCTTTAAAATGCAAGTACGGACCCACATGTGATGATTCATGAATATCTCAACAAGCATTGCATAAATATAGGAAAAATACTAACTAAAGCATTCATCAGAGCCAAATTTTCAAATATTTATTAAAAAGTAGAAACTCTATAGTCGTCATAAAAAATGTAAAATCTTTGCATGTTGAATTTTAGCTACTGATTAGGTTAGATGAGTCACTTGGTGTCTATATTTATTCTTTCATAAATGTCTACACAAATGTACTATGGGTTTCACAAGTCCGTTGTTTGGCTCTTCAAGGAATATGTTTTTGGCCGTAACAAGGTTGACTTAAGAATGTCTTCCAATTTCATGGCATTAGCTTATATTGGTGTTGTTTACAGATGCTTGGTAAGAATGTGCGAAGAGGCCAATGAACTACTTCACGAAGCATCATACAAGACAAATGATTTATTTAATAAAGATAGGGCCTTTTTATAAGGATTGTTTCACCGGACCCTTTCTCAACGACTCTGGCTTTGCAGTTTAAGAACATTTGGAGTCATTTGATTGGAAGACTATGGCTTCAAATCTCTATTAGTACCAACAATTATTAGGCGTGTACTGAGGCGTGTAAAAGAATTCACGGCTTGAATTAAAATTCCTTTAAACATGTAAAGCCTACTACTCCAAAAATCTAATACTCCATCAAGAATGTATGCAAATTGAAGCATTCCAAGAGAGTTGATGTACTTGTTAAAGAAATAGGCCTGCCTACGATTAATTCTTACTCCTTTCCTCTGTCTTTCTTCTCTATCTCCCCTTTCTTATCTTTTGTATTTATGTTTGTTGAAAGACATCATTGATTTCTTGTAGATCTTTTAAAATATGATTTTTCTTCTTTGCACAAATTTCAATCAATTGTGGCTTCTGTGATCGCTAATTCTTACCGTTATTTTTTATTAAATTTTCTTAGAAGGACGATATCATATCAAAAGGTTTGGACTCCATATGTTCCTGCTGTAATTCTTAATAATAAATAATTCACTAATAACCTAGCATTCTAAATATATATTTTCGTTGCAAGCAAAAATAAGATGAACCAAGCCTCACTCAAAATTTCAAACACATAATAGCATCAAACGTTGCCAATATCACTAGATCTAGTAAAAAAACGAATGTATTGCTACACTAAAAAATTATTCAAGTAAACTCCAATGAAAACAGGATATTTGGTGTTGCTAGTATTTATTAGATTTCAGTGTGCAATTTAATTTAATTTGCACGAAAAAAATCAGTAAAATAACCAGTAGATATACAAGAAAATTTATGCAACTTTATCTCCCATATAAAAATAATGGCCACAATACAAATATCTAAGAAATGGTAACCCAAAGAAGAAATGTGATAAGCTTGTGTTAGATCAATCTGATAGATCGGCCGATTTGATTGAGTGGGAATTAGGAAGTTTCCTAATTAAGAGGGAACTATTAAGGAAGGTTCTTAATCAAAGGGGAATTATTTAGGAAAATTTTTAATTACATTTGGGAGGAAATTATTTAGGGCAAGAGATCTAATTGGAATTCAAAATCTAAGAGAGAATTATTTAGGAAAAAGAAAGAATTAAGGGAGATTGTTTAGGAAAGTTTTAATTATAATTGGGAGGGAATTAACTATGGAAATAAATCTAATTTGAATTCAAATATGAGAGGGATTTATATAGGGAAAGAGACTAACTATGGGGTGATTTCAAATTATGTTTGGAGTTGGCTGAAATTAGAATTTCTTAGGTTATTTGGGCACTAGCCGGAAGCTAGGGATTTGGGAGCGCCAAATCTTCCTCTCAAATTGAAGATCCAACTATATCTTGCTATTTTCTTTCATATATCTTGTAATAAAAATAGTTTTGGTTTGCTTTTCTTCCTAATTTCTTATTTTTGTTCGCCGATTTCGATGAAAAGTGCATCAACTTTCTATCACAGTCCTCCCTGGACCAGCAATAGTTTATAGCATGTGGAAGTCCCGCCTGCAATAATCCCGCCCCTTGTTGGGGTGGGTCCAAGCCAAATTTGAAAGAGGGGGCGGCTAGGATATTTGAATTCATCTTGAAGGTGAAGCCATTTCACATCATTGAATTCCAAATAGAACTTTGCTGGTAATAAGTTTCAAACCATATTTTTGACTGGTCAAATCACCAAATCAAAATCAAGCCAACCCAATTCTTATCCACTAACAGGACAAAAAAATCATAACCAAAGCCACTTGTCTTAACTTGGCCCAGCACAGAAATATATATATATATATATATTCTTTCTCTTATAGCGATGTTTTCATTATTTTGATCTATATATACAAATCAAGAGAAAAGTTATATGGCAATATGTACAAAAATAGGTAAAGTGAATATGTTGTTGTAAAACTCGCCCTCAAGATTTATCGTATATACTCTTGATGCTTGGACATAAGTGTTGAAAGAGGTACATGAGGTAAATGTTTGATAAATATGTCGGCTAATTGATGCAAGGACCGAATTGGCAAGAACTTGATGAAACCATTTGTGAATTTGTCTTGAATGAAGTGGAAGTCGATTTCGATGTCTTAATTTGATTTATTTATGAAGAGTTGGGCTAGTGGCAATATGGACAAAAACTTGATTATCACAGAATGCAAGAGTTTGAATTTGTGTGTACTTCTTGGTCTTTTAAGAGTTGCGCTATTTAAGTTAATTCACTAATTGTTGTGGCAAGCGAACCATACTATGTTTCAGTTGATCAGCGAGAAACCGTGTTTTGCATTTTGGATTTCCAATATACCAATGACTCTCCTAGAAAGATGCAAAGGTCACTGACATATTTTTTGGTGTCCAGACAAGATCCCCAATCAGCATCTGAGAGAGCTTTGAGATGATATGTGGAAGTTTTGGAAAAATAAATTCTTTGTCATGATGTTCATGATTTGAGATAATGGAGGACGAAGTTGGTGGCTGCAAGATGAGGTGTATGTGGTTGGGCAAAAAATTGAGAGAGCTAATTGTGAACTGCAAATGTGATGTCTGATCTTGATAATGTAAGTTATAATAACTGTGATATCATATTAAGAACATGCTAAAGCATGATTAGAGCTTGATGGAAGA